AAAAAGTGTAACCTGCTGCAATTTGATGAACTTGACCTATACTTATGGATGTAATAGCTCAAAAAAGGGAACAAATCTTTACAGTGAGGATCACTCTCACCCCTTGGTACACAGGGGTGACAGGGATGGGCAGCTTAGACAGTGGCTACCCAAAACGGGGGGCTACAAAGGCAAGAAGTGACTGGCTTACAAGCTTTCAAGAGGGAGCCTAGTTCCAGATGGGCAGGGGTAGGTAGAACCTCCACTGAACGATTTCCAATCCGTTGGGACCGGGCTGGTGAAAGGAAATGGGGTTAAGACTCTTGTGGTACAATAGTGAATGACTGCCATCAGGACTGGCTGTGAGGCTAGGAAATATAGAGGTAGATGTTTTCTGAGAAAAGGAGGAGAGTGATTGATTTTGCAGCCCAGGAGTGGAGGTCCCTGGGACCATCAAGTGAGAACAGAGTGGGACCCCACCCAGAGAGGCAGTGATGCCAGAGATGGAGACAGAGACAATGCTGTGGACAGATGGAGCGGCTGGGGACACTGGACACAGGGAGGGAGAGGAGTTGTGTGCTGATGGCCAGGGGTGGGGGATGGGCCCGTGTGGTATACCCTTTCGTTATTTGATGATGCATGGAGGGGATGGTAATCATTGCAATGAAACGAAATACGATAGTATGAGTGTGAAGCTGATGTTCTCCCATGTAAACCTCACAACAAAAACTTAAAAAATTAGGGGTTAGGAGAATGCTGCTTTCAGCCATGGTACAGATTTAAGTCTCCTGCTGTGGAAATCTGGCTGAAATGTACGAGACAGCTGCTTTCAGACTTTGGACAGCAGGCTGTGCAGGACCATGATCCCTGAGAGAAGAGGACACATATGAGCCAGACCCTGACACCGCCTGGACCTTTCCCTGGAGGCACGGAGCAGTGCTAGCCTTGCTGGACGGTGCACGTCTGTCTGCCTGACTTGAGGAGATGATGGGAGTTTGAGGAGGCTGGGGCAACTGACAGTCACCGAACAGAGTTCTGAAGAGGAGGGAGTTAGGTAACAAATGAGTTTGTAGTGAATTCTAACATGTGCCTGTCTACAGTGGAATTTGATGTGGCTCATTTCATCAAATAAGGAATGCAAGATGACATCTCCTCGAGACACTGGGTGACATCATCAGGACCCTAAGAGATGGCGAAGAGTTCAGGCTAACATGATGGCCAACACTAAGGTGGTGTTCACAGACCACGTGCCCAGCAGCACCTGGCCACCCGAACAGCCATGTCTCCCCTGGGCTCCAGGTTGGCACTCTGCCCCTCTGGGTCACCAGCTGTACCCAGCTCTCTGAAGGGGGATGCTGTTGAGCCCGGAGGACCGTTCACTGCCCCTGACCCAGTGCCCGGCGCCCCAGGGTCTGCAGCAGGAGGGAATAGACACGAGCACAGGTCTGGAAGAGTCTGGAGTTCAAGGGGCTGCTTCGGAGACAAGTGTGTGAGGGAGATTAGCATCATCCCATTCCTTTGGCCTGGGAAGGAGTAAGACTGGGTCTCTGTGCTGACACTCAGTCCAGGCTGCTGTATTGAACCAGGACAAGTGCGTCGTCCCTGTGGACTTGATGAGTTCCCCTCCTCACCAGTGCTGGCATGGAAAGGGACTTCAGAGAAACATAGGACACTTTGTAAACTTCAGTTGATTTAATGTTCTCTGTTTTAATTAACTACAGATGGATAAAATTGTTGTTGTTGTTAAGTGCCATCGAGTCAGTTCTGACTCATAGTCACCCTGTATAGGGTTTCCAAGGAGCAGTTGGTGAGCTTGAAGTACTGCCTTGCAGTTCAACCCAACCTTGTGGTCCATACCAGGACACCCATTGGCTAAAATTGTTGTTAAGTGCCGTTGAGTTGGTTCCGATCCATAGGCGACGCTGTATAGATTTCTGAGGAGGAGCTGGTGAGGTTGAACTGCCCACCTTGTGGTTCGAACAGATATTGCAATGCAGCGCGTTAACCCACAGTGCCACGCCAGGACTCCATTGGCTGAAACAGTTGGGTAACATTAGGTATAAAGTAAAGTAGGTGGTTAGTTGAAGAGACTTGAGTAAATTTTGTTCTTCTTTGTGCCTTTAGTCTTAGCCTATAAAAGCAAATCTGAGACTCCAGGCTATTTGGGTGAAATAAATAGTGCAGTGAAGAGTCATTAAGCCAAGATTTTGTTAATTTGGAATTGGTGGTAATGCAGGCTGAGGTTGTCTTACTTACTTTTGAATGATCAGGGCCAAAAAAAAATTTTTTTTTCCAAATAAATACTTGTCAATAAGATTCTGAGCCAAGGCTAGCCTCTTTAAAGCGGAACCAATCCAGCCAATTTTAAAACAAACCACAAAATCGCTAGTTTCAAGGGATTAAGAGAATCAGTTTATTCAGTTGCCTGTATTGTCCTCTCCTCTGAGGGTGCACTGTGTGGACTTTCATATGTGTTGAGGTTAAGACACCTGGGTTTTACTGTTTAAATGACAACTTGATGCACAGGGAAACCTTCTCTTCCCACTGGCCTCATTGGCGAGTTGAAACCTTAGGTGGGAACCGATTTCTTGTTGTGTGTCTGCAAGCCGATTCTGACTCATAACAACCTTGTCTGTTCAAACTCTTAGCGACTTTGTGGACAGTTTCTGAGTCTATAAATCTTTGCAGGAGCCAAAGTGACTGGTGGGCTTGAACCCCAGACTTCGTGGTTTGCAGTCTAGTACTTATCCGACAGAGCTACCATGTTCCATGCGTCTACACAGTGCCATACTTTTTAAGAGTTGCTGAGAACCAGCTCTTGAAAATGTATTGTCTGCAGACATGTTTGTACAGCTTTGCTTCCCAAAGTGCGAGGCCTTTGGACGCCTGTGGGGAGCCAGGCCAGGTGGGTAAGAAAGGCTGGCTCTTGGTCTAGTTTTCTGACGGTGGGTGGTGTGGCTCAGCCATCTGGAACTTGTCAGGACTCCCCTTTGACCTGAGTCCGTGGGAGCATCCCGTCTCTGGACTCTGGCTGTGGCCTGTAGACTGGTCTCGAGCAGAGCGGGTACCCTATCCTGTTGTCTGCACTGTCTTCTCGGCGCAGCAGGAATTGTAATAAGGGTTACATGGGTGTTCACGCCACATAGCTGTAGACAGCCATGGATTAAATGGTGAGGTGAATAATTATGAAAGCCATTCACGTCATACTCACCCAAGGAGCGTCGTTTTCCTTGGTCAACGTCCTGTCTTGTGTGAGCTGCTGATACGGCTGATTTTATTAACAAGGGCATGGGAATTACTTGGGAATCTGTTCAGTTATGTATTTCTTATTAACTAAGTGGACTAGACTTGAAATGTTTTTGGCCATTGGCTCCTTGAAGAATTTTCAGGGAGCATGTCCATTTTTGCAAATTTTTTAAGTTGCCATTTTAAAGAGTTGTTGTTGTTGTTAAGTGCCGTCGAGTCGGTTCCGACCCATAGCGACCCTGTACAGGGTTTCCGAGGGTGTAAATCTTTACGGGAGTAGAAAGCCTCATCTTTCTCCCGCGGAGCGGCTGGTAGTTTCGAACCGCTGACCTTAAGGTTCGCAGCCCAATTCGTAACCACTACGCTACCAGAGCTGCTAGGCAGGTTAAATTTTGTCCTGAAGAACACATTTCTGGCAGACTGTGAGTGGCCGGGAGTGTTTTCAGGTCTTGATGGACTCTATACACCACAGCACATCGACACTCACTGTTAATTAACTAATTAAAAAGAGCCAAAAAACTGTCCTTCTTAGTCAGAAATTTTATATTGTTCCACTCATGCGCATATGTTTCTCTCATAGAATTTCCCCCTAAAGTAAAACATGTTCACACTGGAAATTCTTTTATTGATTAAGCCATCATAGTTTTTGGCTTAATGTTCTAAAAAATTTCTTCGGATTGATTTTTTATAAGTAAAATTATATTAATAACGAGAAGGAACACCAGTACATCAACACGACAGTCCCTGAGTAGTGTGAACGGCAAAGTGCTCGACGACTAGCTACAAGGTTTGTGGTTCAAACCCGTCCCGAAGCACTTCAGAAGAAAGGCCTGGTGATCTTCGTTCAGAAGGTCACAGCCTTGAAAACCCTCTGGAGCACACTTGGGGCCCCTGTGAGTCAGACACACTGGATGGCAACTCACAACACAGCATGAAAACGCTGATGCATCCAATTTTGACTCGGAATAGAAAGTTACATTTGACTAAACTCGAATCTCTCAGTGGAACGGTGCCCCGCCCCCATTAGTGTGACTCTCCAGGACACACCTGACTTCCTGCTGGTTGGAAACAGGGCTCCATAGCACTATTGGTTCCTGGTCTTCATTTTCTACATGTACTCCGAGGGGCTCAGGGTTACGTAAGTCTGCGAAGAAAGGGGTTGTGCTGTCAGCCACTCTTGTCTTCAGCTTCTGGAACCTTCCCGTCGGAGTTCTCACTCACCTGACGCGTCAAATTAACATCCTGTCCCCAAGGGCGTCCACGGTCCTCTGTGGCCTCAAATCTTGGTGGGAAGGACAGCTCCCCGCTACGGGGTTTAGGGTGGGAGAGGAAGAGTCTAGAGGTGACGGTCTTGGTCCCTGTGGGGATTTAGGGTGGGAGAGGAAAAGTCTGGAGGTGACGGTCTTGGTCCCTGTGGGGATTTAGGGTGGGAGAGGAAGAGTCTGGAGGTGACGGTCTTGGTCCCTTAGAGTCTTAGGATGGGGGAGGAAGAGTCTAGAGGTGACGGTCTTGGTCCCTGTGGGGGTTTAGGATGGGGGAGGAAGAGTCTGGAGGTGATGGTCTTGGTTCCTGTGGGGGTTTAGGGTGGGGGAGGAAGAGCCTGGAGGTGATGGTCTTGGTCCCTGTGGGGATTTAGGATGGGGGAGGAAGAGTCTGGAGGTGATGGTCTTGGTCCCTGTGGGGGCTTGGGGTGGGGGGCAGGAAGTCTGGAGGTGACGGTGCTGATCCCTGGCAGCTGTTGTAATGACTCCCTGTCCTCTGTTGTTTCCTCACAGAGACGATTCTCAGCACCACTCCCCCGACCAGTGAGATTGTGCAACCGCAGCCTCAGGCCCTGCACTACACCCTGGCCAATGCTCAGCAGGTCCAGATCCATCAAATCGGAGAAGATGGACAAGTCCAAGTAGTATGTACTCCCTCTTCCTACCATCGTGGGGGTGGGATGGGAGAGGAGGCAGCCCCAGGAAGGGTGTTTCTGGAACACACAGGTAGCTGGGCCCGAGGTGACTGTTGTAAAGGACAGGTGATTCTATCAAGGGTGTTTCTCTTTGGTACCTGATGGCCAGGTGCTCATGCCTGGAGCTGATGCTGAGGGGCCTGTTGTGGGCCCCTCAGGCTCCTCTCCTCAGGCCTGCTGGGAAGGCAGGTGTTGTCCATCTGTACAGGAGGGTTTCAGCTCTGAGGTTGGGTCACTTGGTGGCCACAGTGACTAGGTGGTGGACGGGACTACATGTGTCACCATCCAGGAGCCGTGGGCCCCATCTCTTCCTTGTGTGGTCAGTGGGCAGACAGCCTTTGTCACTGGGCAGCACACACTCAGCCCACGTTTGCTTCCCTCAGACAGGAGACAAAATGACCTTTGTAGTCTTCTTTTGTGACATGTTGTAGCCCGAGCCAGACAGTGAGTACCAAGCCATGTGGGGTCAGTGCTTCCGAAATCCCCTGGAGTTCCATGGCAGGAGGGGAAGGCTGGGGTAGCTAGGCTTCGTAAGCACCCCACTAGAAATCTTGTTGATGTCATGGCCAGCCTCACAGGGGCTTCATCATCCTCATACCTCGGGCTCAGCCAGGGCTCTATCCTGGAAACAAGCTCCTAATCCATCAAGACTCTGCCCCTGGGCCACTTGGGGGCTGCTGCCAGGAGAGGGTGGGCACTCGAGAAATGCCCAGTGAGAGCTTCTTCCAAGGAGAGGAAGCAGTGGTGAATGTGAATTCTGGGTTAAATCGGCAGTCCCACAGACTCTTGTTCCTGAGAATGTTCTTTGGAAGGATTCCAGAAGACATAAGTCTGACTTAGGGTTTACACACAAAGTGAAGTAAAGACCACAGAAAAATCCCCTCGTTTAGTGGAAGGCCCATTTTGACTCTGATGGAATTGTAAATAAGATAGTGGAGCTTGTTTGTCCACCCATAGCTACAAAGCATGAATGTGTTTTAGTTGGAGTCTTTGATCTCTGGGACCACATTTAGTACTGTTTACTTGAGCCTTTTAATAGTGATGTGATTTCCAACATCTCCTCTCCTGTGCCCCAGCAGTTGTACTCATGTCACTGCCTCCACTCCCAGCACACACCACACTGTGGCTTTCAGATGTGAGCTCACTTCCCCCTGAAGCTTTTCAACTATGCTCCACCCACCTCCCTGTGATGCTCCACCCACCTCCCTGTGATGCTCCCTTGCTGTGCTCCCCCACCTCCCTGCTGTGCTCCCCCCACCTCCCCAGGTGCTCCCCTGCTGTGCTCTACCCACCTTCCCGGGTGCTCCCCAGCTGTGCTCCACCCACCTTCCTAGATGCTCCCCAGCTTTGCTCCCCCCACCTCCCTGGGTGCTCCCCTGCTGTGCTCTCTCACCTCCCTGGATGCTCCCCTGCTGTGCTCCCCCACCTCCCGGAGTGCTCCCCAGCTGTGCTCTACCCACCTTCCTGAGTGCTCCCCAGCTGTGCTCTACCCACCTCCCGGAGTGCTCCCCAGCTGTGCTCTACCCACCTCCCTGGGTGCTCCCCAGCTGTGCTCCACCCACCTCCCCAGCTGTGCTTTCCCCACCTCTCTTGGTGTTCCCGTTCTTCTGAATAAGGGTGTGTTTTTTTAAAAAAAGACTCATTCAGTTTTCCAGGAAATTTCTGTGTTCCCCCTTTTGTGTGTCATTTATTTCTTAAATTTACATTTTAGTCAGTCCCTGCAGAGGGTCAGTGAGCAGGTGAAGACCCTCAGTGAGGTGGACTGCCACCGTGGCACAAGGGGCTCAGCTGCAGCGCTGACAGTGAAGATGGTGTAGGACCAAGCAGGGCTTTGTTCTGCTCAGCATGAGCTTGCTGGAGTCGGAACGGACTCAACAGCACCTCACAAGAAGTCATTTAAAGAGTCAGCAGATGTTCCTGAGGACCCTTACTCTTGTAACAGTTGCCGTCAAATGTCTGGCATGTGTCATATGCCAGGAGTTACGAGAAAGAGGTTCCTTCGTGAGCTCACACTGCACCCAGATTAGACTAAGTGCTGAGGAGCCCTTGGCTTGTCTTGAACTGTGATCACAGTGAAAAGTCCCGAGAGTGTTTCGCATTTCCCTTGGTTTTGAGTTTCTTCTGATGCTTCTTGGTGTTTTGTCTTGCTGCGGATCCCACAGGGCCACCTGCACATCGCCCAGGTGCCTCAAGGGGAACAGGTCCAGATCACACAGGACAGTGAGGTGAGTGATGGGGGGCTCGGTACTGTTGGCAGAGGGCACCGCACCACTGGTGTGCCCCAGCTCTGTCTGTGTCTGAACGAGACTCACAGGGAATGTCCTGCGATGAACCACCTCTGGCAGTGAACAGCTTACCTTCTGGGCACAGTGCCAGGCCTGCGCCACCCTAAGTCCACCACTGTCCACCTTCGCTTGTCGGAGCATCTTCTTGTTCAGTCTTTGAATTTTGTTTTTCAATCCATGCATGTTTTGTTTCATACCCTTGACTGCATTCCTCACAATGTAACGTAACACGTCTTCCCACTTGCTCCGTGTTTCCTGGTTCCGTTCCTCCTGTCCTCACCCTTTCTTGCTTTCTGAGTTTTGTCCTTGGATGACTCTTTTCTTGTTTTGCCCTGTCTTTTGTCACCACTGCTTGTTTCTAAAATGTTGCCATCACCCCAGCCGAAAGCCCTGCACCCACAGTTCCTTTTCGGGGGCTGCTGCTGAGGCTGGGGCTGGGGCTGCCCTCCATGCCCACCCGAGTAGGAGGGCGGCATCTCACCGTGCACACATGTGGACTCAGCACCTCCATTTGGGATCATGTTCAGTCCCCTCCATGCATAACCATCAGGTCCCTGAGGACAGGGTGGGCCTGCCCAGCTTGGAGTTGGGCATTATGCTGGCCTGCGGTGGCCCTCAGTAAAAACCCATGGAGAAAAGACTGTAGGGAACACTGTGCTCTGGGCTCCCGGGAGCAGCTCCCGGGACACTGACAGTGGCGTTAGGGACTTGCCTGTGCCGAGCAGGGAGGGTCCTTGGTGGTGCACATCACACGCCTCCCGAGAGGCTATCTGTACGTGGCTCAGATGGGGTCAGCCCTGAGCACACGGGGCTGCCCAGGGCCACACCAGTCTGTCCTTCTCGGACTCCATCTGCCTGGCTGCTTTGTTGCTACTGCTAACAATAGCTTTACAGTTCTTACTGGGTTTTCCTATCATGTTTGCCGCCACCCCCCTTTTCCCCCCCAGTTTTCCCAGCTGCACCATTCTCCTTTCTAACCTTCAGGATCTTTTGTTCCTATTTGTAGTCGGCTGTCAGAAATTAGGAGGAGCTGCTAATGGTTTCTTTTGTGATATTGCAATCTTTATTCAGTATTCTTTTCATAATAAAGCCTCACTTTGTTCATTTAAATCTGAAGAATGGAGTCTCGGTGTGGCACTGTAGGATAAGCACTTGACTGCAAGGTTGGTTTGAATTAAAAAATGATTAAAACTCACCAGCCGTTCCTTGGAAACTGATACAGGGTCACTATGAGTTGGAATCAACTCTGTGGCACTTAACAACAACAACATTGTGTTAAAACTAGAAGAGACGCCAAGAGCTGCTCCCTGAGTCTCCCGCCCACCTACGTTTGTGTTCTCACAGCACATGAATGTGCACTTTCGTCTGGGGTCAGGGTCATTGTGAGCTGCGGTCAGTGGCCTGGTGGTGACAACGTCCTCACCTCAAGTATGAGCTCAGGGCGAGTTTTCAACTTCTGCGCATCTGAAATTGGTTTCCAAATTAAAAGTTTTAAAAGACTGGCATTTTCATCTCGGGCTAGAGGGATAGGTACCAGGTTTGAGTTGTTTACCTGTACACACAGGTACACACACAGGTGCGTACACACACAGGCACCCACATAGACACACAGGCACACATACACAGGCATACACACACAGTCATTCCTTGGCACCTGTGGGAGACTGATTCCAGGACACCAAAATCCCTGGATGCTCAAGTCCCTTGTATAAAATGGTGTAGTGTCTGCATTTAACTGACACACATCCTCCCATAGTCTTGAAATGATCTCTAGATCATTTAAAACCCCTGTTATTGCTGTGTGCCATCGAGAGGCCTCTGACTCATGGAGCTCTGTAGAGGGTTCCCGAGAGCAGCTGGCGGAACTGTTGACCTTATGCTGGGGTTACAGCGCTGTCCTTGGTACCAATGTCAATGCCTTGTGCACCGATGCCCCTCTTACCTGTGAGGGATGGCTCTGGCCACTTGATTGCTTTTTGTTCTGATTCCCTTTGATGCACGGTTGGGTGAATCTATGGCTGTGAAGCCCGCGGATGCGGAGAGCAGGCTACATCAGTAGGAACAGCTTCAGTGTTTTGTTCCGGGTTTGAATGCTGCTGCGGCAGCTTACTGTGGGACTAGCTGTCCGCGGTCCTAGAGTAGCCCCATGGTCCCCAGGGCCCTCAGCTGCTCCCGCTCCTGACCCTCTCCTTTGTGTGTTTCGTCCACAGGGCAATCTCCAAATCCACCACGTGGGACAGGATGGGCAGGTAAGTGGTCAGCTGCCCTGGTTCCTACCTGCTTGTGCAGCCCCTCCCCAGGCCTGGGCCAGCATCCTTGGGGTGACGCTGCTCCTGCCGAGAGTCATCCCGTGTGCTCTGCCTTACGAGTGAACCTCCGCTGTCTGTTGTACTGCTGTTGTGTTTACAAACCAACATGAATGTTGTTGATTTCCTGCTAGAAGAAGGTAGTTTTGGCAAACCAGTTGCTGTCAAGATCAAACAACTTTCTGGGTTTCTAACTTGTGATTAAAATGTGTCACCATCCGCTGAAAGCGCCTGACTCGAATGACATTAGGGAGTGAAGTGCCTTCCCTCCCACTCCCCTTCCCCGTGAAGGAGCCTGGGGGGCTGCCCCTCTTGTTTCCAGCACCACGTGGCATCATAGTGAATGGCTTCTGTTAGAGAACCGAGCTCCTTCCTTTTAGACGACGGGACTTAGGAGATGGATTGTCAGAGGCTGAGTGTGGATCTGGTCCCTTCACGAGGGAAAGACACTTGCTCTTGTAGGAAAGCAAGCACCCACTCCTCCCTGGGGCCCTGACCCCTTTCTCATGGGCAGGGCAGTGCTGCGTCCACTGGGCCCCGGGCCCTGGAAGAGAGCTTCCCCACAACAGGGCTTCCTCTCAAACTTTCACAGGGTGCTGTGGGTGAAAGGTTTCAATCGGAATTCAAACTGGAGTTTCCGATTTGGGAAGTTTTCGTCTTAAACACTCACATGAGGTTTTGATCAGAGAGTCGCAAAGCAGCCGTAGCATCCAAATACAAGAGTCACCGTCCTTGGAAAAGAACCAGAAAACCAAAGAAATGCAGAGTTTTAAAAAATCCTCCGGGCATTTCTTCCAACATCACTCTGTCTTGGGGATTAATTTCAAGTGGTTGGTCGGGGCCATCCTAAGTACGGACTCACCGAGTTTCCTTTGGCTTGTTTCTCGCATCCTGGAGACAAGTGAGGGTGGGGCTCCTATGCGGTAGTTTATCTCTCTCTTGTTGGCTTGCTTTATGCTCCTGGTGAAACTTCCTCTAATGGGAAGGTTGGACTAGAATTCCTCTGAAGAGTAAGGCCAACTCTTGCCTTTTATATTCCCTTGCTTTCTGTGTTCAGTCTTGGCCACACTTCCACTAGAAATTCTGTTTTTAATAGAATCAGATTTTGACTTTGCATTAATAGAATTCAAGGTCAGCAGTTCAAACCCACCAGCCTCTCCCAGAAACTCTATGCAGGGTCACTATGCATTGGAGCTGAGTTGATAGAACACAACAACAACATTGTTTGTAAGGAGCCCTGGTGGTGCAGTGGCTAAGCGCTTGACTGCTCACTGGAAGGTCTTGGGAGGAATGACGTCACAGTTTGCTTTGGAAACCTCCTGGGTCAGTTCTGCTTAGCCCCAGAGGGTTGCTGAGAGCTGAAGTGGACTCGACGGCACCCAACAATGACACGGTTTATACTCGCAGGACTACGGAGGCTGTGTGGGCAGGGATCTTGCCACTTACATCAGACAAGGCCTTTTCTGTAGATTTTCCCTCATTCCTCCCATCTCTCATTCTTCACACTCAGCGTATGGTCTGTTCCTGCCTCAATACATCTGGTCTACCTACCACTAATGTTCCGTATGCTCTTAAGTTCCTCTTAACTCTCTCTCTAAGCAGCTCCACGATACGATAAGAAAAATCAATACTCAGATGAATCATCTGACTTTCAGTTATCATGTGGGGGTGGGTGGGCATGTCTAGCTGGGTGAGTCTCAGGGCTGCCTCTGTACCACTGTTCCCTCACCGCTGAGAAGTCATGAGGGGCTGAGATGGCACCAGGTCTCCAGTGTCATGACAGGTTCCCACGATCTGTCTACCTGAAGTGACCGCATGCCCTGACAGAGCCCTTTGGCAAACTGTCTGGTGAATTCCAGACATGCCGCCTAGACACCGTCACATCTGGGAGACATAGACCAGTCCTGATTGTTTGTGGGTGGAAGTGTGTGGTGGAAGCTAACTTCAAGGTTAGCGGTTCAAGCCCACTAGCCACTCCACAGGAGAGAGATGGTACTGTCTGTCCTGTAAAATTTGCAGTCTCGAATTGGCTAGATGGCAGTGGTTCTGGGTGTCAACAGAACAGGAGGGGCACTGATGTGTTAACTAGGAAGTACCTGCTTCCTGGTTGAAATGACTGCTGTACCTTTGAGGGAAGCAGAAACCATAAGTCTGGTCACCATAGCTGTGTGGATAGGAAATTAACTTTGTAAGATGAATTCAAATTGCATTTTAAAGGTATCCCAAATCTAATGTGCACATACTTCTGTAACATTAGGGATTGTAAGCAAGTGACGTGTGGGGTGGTGTGAGGCAGTGGGGGTGGTGTGAGGCAGTGGGGTGGTGTGAGGCAGTGGGGGGGTGGTGTGAAGC